TGGTGTGTGTGCGAAATACTTTCGAAACGATAATTCTATCCTCCTCCTTCCTACGTCTTTTTATTTCCTGTCCTTTTCGACTCACTCATAATTTTTAGTATTGACTATATTAAAGATTGAAATATGTATTTTATTCTAAAATTTAAAAGAACTATTTCAATTTTTCTTATTCTTTCGATACTTTCACGGACTGCGATTTTAATATAGTCATTTTTAAAAATTATAATTCTTTTATTAAATTGTATTACAATTTTATTAATTTTTGTAAAATATATCAAGGGCTGCCTACTAATATGCTCAATATTAATTTTTAATATAAAACACGATTTCCCTAAATTGAAAAAGAATATATTAAATTCTATTGCCAATTTTAACAAATATTAATACAAAATCTCTCTCCGTGTATATAAGGACGATGAGAAAGTAGATTCATAGCGTGCGAGTTAGTGTTAGTTATGCGTTAGTGTTAAGTTAGTGATAGGTTGATTGGTCGAAACACCCAGTAAAAAAAAACTAATTCAAATGAATTGAAACGAATTAACATTTTTGGTAGGCTCCAATTCGTATTTGTCACAAAGCGGGATTCACTCAAGCTCTTTGTATATTCAATTGAATTTAATTCAATATGTACCAATTTGTCCAAACGAATTCGCATTCGAAAGAAATGGCCAAGGAATGCATTGAATTCGTGCTAACGAATTGAAAAAAATTAAAGGCTCAAAACTTGTCCAGTGAATTGGTACGGATAGAAGGTTCGGAAGTTCAATACAGTTTCACGAATTCAGGAAAATTGCATCATGGCTCCAATTCGTATTTGTCACAAAGCGGGATTCACGAAAGCTCTTTGTGAATTCTTTTTAATTCATTTCAATTAGTTTTCGTTTACTGGGCAGTGTTGTTTACATGTGTTTGTTCAGTAACTTGTTCAGTATGACTGGCGCAATATTACGCCTGTCGTAAATTTTTGCTTATGTATTTAGAAAAACTAATGAGGCGCTAAAGAGGCCCTCTAGTTAAATCCCCACATTCTGCTTTTCTATTCAGGCAGTGACAAGGCAATCTAGTTAGAACCTCTCTATCTTTCCACATCATCACCTGATATTTCAAGCGTGACGAAATTAGACGGGTCCTGACTAATTTTCCTAGTTTGCGCCTCACTAAACGAAAGGGCGTCTATTCAGGGCCTTACGAAGTCCTATTTTCAATTTCTGAGCTACATGCACACCGAGACTCTCCGAGTTCCGTAAAATATACTATCCCTTCCTACATTATTTCATGATAACGTAGGAAGGTTCTTTTAAAGATGGTAAGCCTAATTTTACAATTCATAGGCAATTATAATTGAAGGAAGTGAATTTATCATTCGGTGATTAAATATTAAATTTGAAGAAGTTAACAATTTTTTTCTGAGTTCTTTGATAATTTTGAAATTTTTAATTAATTTCGAAAATATTTTTCAAATTAAGCAGTTTTCTGTATTAGGGCAGCTGTGCTGTCGATACATTGAAGCCCATGAGCTTATCGAGATTTATTTAAGATATTTAATTTATTTGTGTAGATTGATTCGGGAAAATTGTTAACTTCTTTAAATTTAATATTTAATCACCGAATGATAAATTCACTTCCTTCAAATTTTTAAATAATTGAAATTTTTCGACAAATTTTAATAAACTTTTCAAGAATAATAAAAAAAAAAAAATTGTAAATATTTGAATTCTTGTGAAATTTTCATTATTTGTGAATTCAATAATAATTTCTTGAAATTCTGTAAAAAAAATTTGAAAATAATTGAATTTTGTAGAAGAATTTTATTATTTGAAATTTTGACGAGAATTTTTTTAATTTTTTGAACATAATTGAATTTCTGCAAAGATTTGTAACTTCTCTAAAATTCAATTTTTTTGGTATTTTCAACTAAAATTCTTCTATAAATCCATTATTATGATATAGCTATTGAAGAAGTAATTAAGTTATTTAAAAAGAAAGTATTGTCAGAAATGGAAAAAATTGAAGGTTTGTATTAAGAATTCGTGGTAATTTCATAGTTTATAAGGCAAACGAAAAAGACGACAAAATTCCAATTTTTCAGGGATTACCCTGATCAATTCTACTTTTCATGACTTTTCCTTGAATTCAATAAATTCCTAGATTTCCCTGACCTGTGGCAACCCTGAAAGAGGTTTTAATTTTTTTCAACATCTAATAATTTTTAGAGTGAATCAAAATATTCTTAAGGGTCAGGGCAAAAGTCAATATTTGTCTGGAAGTCAGGGAAAAACAAAAAGATTTGAATCTACTAAATGAAGTCAGATTTAAAAAATTCAAAATGGCGGATTCAATATGGAGGACCTTAAAAATTTATTGCCATAACTTGAAACTTGATACTATTATTTTATTACATTTGCAAGTAAAATTATATTTAAAAAATGTTTAAACTAGAGTCAGAAACTACAATGCTTTTTCTATTTATGCATGTTTAAAATGTTTAACCTGCAGTTTTCCAGATGATTATAAATTTTCTAAAGTAGTAGTATTATGGATATTATTTTAAATAAAGTTCTCTCCAACAATTTTTATAAAAGTAGTTTTTAACTAGGAGAAAAATTATTATTGAGAGAGTGAATGAGAGACGGGAATATTCAAATGTTCACTGTAGCAGAAAAATGGGTTGTAAAACGAATACATCGTCGAACGTACACACGTTTATACCTATGTATACCAATGTTGTACCCCGTTTCGCACTGCCCTTCAATATTCGCTATTTAAAGTTATTTTCCCTGCTTCGAAAGAGTGACTCTTCGTTAACGCGAGTCAGGGTTTGAACTACTGCCAAACTCTAATTTACGTAACGCCTCTTCTTTTTTATTTCACTTTTTTCTTCTTTTATTATTATACATACCACCGAAAAAGGATGTTTTCCAAGTATGTGTATTAACGCAAAGGGGAAAATTACTCCATAAAAAATTAGATAAAATATACGCGTCCCTTTAACTTTTGTCAAAGCAAATTCAATATTCGAAAAATATTCTCCATTTTAGACACGCGAATATTGATGAAAGTAAAACTTGATTTAAAAGTTTCAAAGAAAAATAAACGTTTGGAAAAGAATGTGGATAAATAATTTTTCTTCTTCGAACGTAACAAATTTGTCGTAGAAAATGATTGTCGCTAATTCACATTTTACTAATATAATATAAATTATATCCCATAAACAAAATTTTAAATTAAGATTTAAAAAAAATTTTTTACTTTTTGTCTTTTAACCGCCTAATACGCGTTTACCAACTCTTACCATGAAAGGATAGGCAAATTTAAAAGTCTTATTTTTTATGTAAAAATTTTTTTGTATTTTTAAATTTTTTTAGGCCATTGAAATAAATTATTAAATTTTTGTCCCTCATCATATTGGATTCGCCATTTTGAATTTTTAAAAACTTACATCGAATTCGTAATCAGCGACACCGAAAAACTCCGACTCACAAAATCAAGGTCAATTTGAATAAATTTTAAAACTGCCGCCATAATGAATTTTTGAAAACTAACATCGAATTCATAATTAGAGACCCCAAAAACTCCCGAGTAACAAAATTTAGGCGAATTCAATAACATTTTGGTATTTTGAACGTTTTAATTAAAATTTTCCAAAAGAAAAAATTTTTTTGTGATGATTATTAAATTAAATTATTCAATTTTTTGTTCAATAAGTATATAAATACTTATTTACTTTTCCAAAGGAATTAAAATTTGAAACAATTGTAATGTAAAACCTTTTTCAAATTAATAACAATTTCTATAAAAATTAATATTATAACGCATTTAATATTCAATTATAATCTAAAATTTTAACTATAATTTATTTTTAATTTAATTCTTATTCGAAAGTTCTACGAGAATTCAATTATTTTAATACAAAACTGAATAATTTATAGAATAACTGATTATTCTTAAAATTAAATACTTAAAAAGAATTTTATCAAAATTTTTGAAAATACAGTGGACTCCGCTTATAACGAGTCCGGATATAACGAGAAGTCGGTTATAACGAACAAATTCTCGTCACTTGGTTGGTTTCAATGTTAATTTAACGTATAGAACATCGTTTATTACGAGATGGATATAGCGAGCAAGTCGGTTATAACGAGCAAAAATTGTAAACACCGTGGCTAAATAAAGTCGGTTATAACGAACATATAAAATTTATTTACTTTATTGACCAGTCTGTTTCTATTCTACCTCGTGCTAACATTGCTTGCTATTGCCAAATGGAGAATCCAAGAAAAAGAAAAATTTTATCGATTTGTGATAAAATTGAAATTTTACAAGAATTAGAAAAAGGGAAGTCGAATACATCAGTGTGTAAAAAATTTAATTTAAAATCTTCGACTGTATCCACTATATGGAAGAACAAAGAAAAAATTTTTAAAGCTTCAGAAGAACATAATTTAAAAACTAAAAAAGTGCGAATGTGTGAACACCCTGATTTAGACCAAGCTCTTTTAAAGTGGTTCAAAATTCAAAGAAATCAAGGAGTACCTATAAGTGGGCCTATCTTACAGTTACAAGCAGAAAAATTTTCAAAAGAAAATGGTGAAAATGATTTTAAGTGTAGTGACGGGTGGATTTCTAGATTTAAAAAAAGACACAATATAATTTTGGGTAAAGTAAGTGGTGAAGCTCTCGATGTTGATCATTCAGAAGTCAATGACTGGATTGAAAATGTGTGGGAAAAAATAAAACGTGAATATGAAGAGAAAAACGTTTTTAATTTAGATGAAACTGGTGTTTTTTATAATTTATTGCCTGATAGAACACTTCGTTTTAAAGGTGAAAAATGTGTTGGTGGGAAACTGTCAAAACAAAGAGTGACTGTTCTTGTTGGTGCAAATTTATCAGGAACAGAAAAAAGAAAATTATTGGTCATTGGAAAATCAAAAAATCCAAGATGTTTTAAAAATGTTAAAAAATTACCAGTAAAATATGAATCAAATAAAAAGTCTTGGATGACATCAGAAATATTTTTACGTGAATTTAAAGAATGGGATAAGGAATTAAGGAAAAAAGACAGGCAAATTGTAGTGTTCGTAGACAACTGTCCTGCTCATTGTACAATAGAAAGTTTGACGAATATTAAATTGATTTTCTTTCCTCCAGATGTGACTTCAGTTCTTCAACCCATGGATCAAGGGGTCATAAAGAGTTTTAAATCTCACTATAGAAGGAAATTGGTATTACAATTTATTGAGAATTGTGAACATGGAAATCTTGATAAAAAACTCTCATTATTAGAAGCAATCCGTTTCATGGCAGAAGCATGGGCTTCTGTCTCAACAGAAACTATAAAACACTGTTTTCAAAAGTCACGCATTTGTATTACAGGTAAATTAATTTTTTGTATTTTATTAATTGAATTAGTCTTAAAATTATTAATTAACACAATTCATTTAATATGTAATTTTATAATTTATAGAAAACTTGACAACTAACGAAGGAAACTCTAATGACGATTGTTCATTGTTCGATTGGATTCATAACAATAACATAAATATCAACACTGACAATATAGATGACTACGAATCAATTGATAATGAATTAATTGTGAGTGAGCTTCCTTCCGATCAGGAAATATTATTATCTATTAAGAAGAACACAACGGAGGATGTCTCTGATGAGGAAGACGAAAACGAAGATGAATCGTGTGTTCAACATATTTCAAGTGTTCAAGCCCTGTCCGCTTTGCAAACATTGTCCACATTTTTCGAAACAAATAACTTGGAAGATGATTTTTTTGAACATTACGTAAAATTAAAAAATATTGTTAGTGATTATCATTTGAGGAACAATAATAATAAAAAACAATCTTCGATTCTTCAATATCTTCATAGGCATACCAATAACTAAATAAATTGAACAATATACACATATTTATGAAAATATTACCACGTATTATTCTTCTTAACTTTGACTTCGCTTATAGCGAACTTCGGCTATAACGAACAAATTTCAACGGTCCCTTGAAGTTCGTTATAAGCGGAGTCCACTGTAATTCATTTCTTTCGAAGAATTATTAGTAAAAACTTTATAAAATAATTATATTTTTTGAGGAATTTATTTCAAACTGCATTAAAAATAATTGAAATCCTGTAAAAATTTAATTATTTATAAAAATAATTGAATTCTTGCAACGAACTTTATTATTCATAAAAATTATTGAATTCTTGCAACAAATTTTATGATGTTTAAAAAATATAATTGAATTCCTGCAACTAATTTTATTAAAATGTTTTAAATAATTGATTTCCTTTTTTATTTTATAAAATTTAAAAGAATAATTTAATTATTTTGAATAACTTAATTAAAATTGTATTTATATATGTAATTTAATTCTTGTGATGAATTTTGTTATTTATGAAAATAATAATTTAATTTTTATAAAAAAACTTTATCAAAATTATAAAAAATAGTGAATTTTTTTCAAAGAATTTTATAAAAGTTTTAAATAATAACTCGCGAAATTATGAACCCTTTTATTTGTCTACACCATCTATCTTATTTGATAGATGATATTGATATTTTAAATATAATGATAATGATATTTTAAAAAATTTCAAAAATTGGCGGACATATTGGATTTTTAATTTTTTTGTACTTTTTTTGAAAAATATATATCTCTGCTTGTTCTTAACGGATTTTAGTTTATGACCTCTTAAATTGTTCGTATTGAAATATACTTTTATTTCAAAAATTAAAATTAAAAAAATTATTTAAATTTTTTGTTTAAAAAATTAATTTAATTTTTTGAAAAGCCATAGAAAAAATATGCTACCTTCAATTTTGATCATTTTTTTACCATTTGTAGCCATAAATGTGTTGAACTTGTCCTGAAATTTTCATCGTGGGACAGCCAGTAGTTTTTGAGAAAAAAAATAAAACGTAAATCCTCGCATAGCGCTGTAGCGCTCAGTTTTAATGCCGCACGATTGTAAATGGAATTTTAATGAAAGTACGAGTTTTTATTAACCCTAGAACTAAAATATGATTTTTTTATAGACTAACGAAAAACTGGGGTGGTTTGGTACCCCAGATTTGAAACAATTGTAAAAGTTTTCCTTTTTTGTAATTTTTTTAATTTGTCAACAATGTGGCTAATTTAAAAAAAATTAAACGGATTTTAAAAGGTAAATAGAGACAATTTTATTTTGATTAAGGCAACTTGAAAATTTAAATATTATTTACAATATATACAAATGTTAAATGATTTTAAAATAGAATCAAAATCATTTATTACAAAGGAGGTTTCTATTTTTTACGGGGGAGTTTCCGAGGTCTTACAGTTTTTCTTTATTTACCTTTTAAAATCCGTTTAATTTTTTTTAAATTAGCCACATTGTTGACAAATTAAAAAAATTACAAAAAAGGAAAACTCTTACAATTGTTTCAAATCTGGGGTACCAAACCACCCCAGTTTTTCGTTAGTCTATAAAAAAATCATATTTTAGTTCTAGGGTTAATAAAAACTCGTACTTTCATTAAAATTCCATTTACAATCGTGCGGCATTAAAACTGAGCGCTACAGCGCTATGCGAGGATTTACGTTTTATTTTTTTTCTCAAAAACTACTGGCTGTCCCACGATGAAAATTTCAGGACAAGTTCAACACATTTATGGCTACAAATGGTAAAAAAATGATCAAAATTGAAGGTAGCATATTTTTTCTATGGCTTTTCAAAAAATTAAATTAATTTTTTAAACAAAAAATTTAAATAATTTTTTTAATTTTAATTTTTGAAATAAAAGTATATTTCAATACGAACAATTTAAGAGGTCATAAACTAAAATCCGTTAAGAACAAGCAGAGATATATATTTTTCAAAAAAAGTACAAAAAAATTAAAAATCCAATATGTCCGCCAATTTTTGAAATTTTTTAAAATCGCTTGCGGATTTCATTTATTACCACCAGAGGATATAATCTACCCAATTTCAACCGAATCCCAAAACCTAATAAAATTTTTTGTGTTGAACTGACGTGGAATACACCTTGTATTTGAAAATGAATCCAGATTTAGACTTATTTTTTTCTTCCTTAAACAAATTTACTTCTACCATTGAGCACTATATCGAAACATGCTTGAACGATAATTGTTAAATGCGGCAACATGACATAATTCTTCCATTGAAATTGCTATACAATTTTGTTTTTGTAATTTATATTATATTTTATATTCTTTAATCTAGTTACCCATGTATGGTCCATAGGGACTGCGGGACCAATGTTAAATAAATAAATAAATAAATAATGCGACGCCCCCCGACTATAAAATGTTTATTCAAATCTCCGTGCAATAAAATGTTAACTCAGAAATTCGTGCTGTATAATTGTTTTTAAAAATTTCATGCAATATAATGTTAACTCAAGTTGCATTCAATAAAATGTCAATTCAACCACCAGTGCAATATAATGTTATTGAAAATACTAAAAGTTTTATTTCTAGCCTTTAAATTATATGAGGTTAAAGAAAAACATAATTAGTGAATTTTTCTTGCGAAAGTGAAAAAGTTATGTTATAAATATTTTTTACTTATACTAAATTAATTAGGAAAATGAAAGAATAAAATTTATTTAATTCTAACTTTGAAAACTATTTTTATTAAAATTATAAATATTTAAAAATATTAAAATTACTTTAACAGTCCCTTTTTTGAATTTAGTTTTCCATTTTGTAGCAGTTTTTAACGCTGTACATATATAATAACTCTTTTTTTCAACCAATTGGTCTGCTGAAGAAAAACCAAACTGTTTGTCTAAAGAGTGGAAAACTATGCAGATATTTCACCATAAAAAAATAATCTTTTATTCAACATTCTGCATTACTGACTTTTTTTATAAAAACTTAACCCATAAATAAGGAACTATACGAATATTATTGTGCTGTCAACAGTTGCAACTTCAATCTATTTAAGTAATTTAATAAATAAATTAATAATCTAATTTAACCTCATACAATTTAAAGGCTGGAAATAAAAATTTTAGTATTTTAAATAACATTGTATTGCACTGGTGGTTGAATTGACATTTTATTGAATGCAACTTGAGTTAACATTATATTGCATGAAATTTTTAAAAACAATTATACAGCACGAATTTCTGAGTTAACATTTTATTGCACGGAGATTCGAATAAACATTTTACAGTCGGGGGGCGTCGAATGGATTTCTTTAAAAAAATTTCTTGAAAATTGTATTTCACATACACGGAAAAAAAAGTACGTGAATCCTTCCTTGAAAGTGCTTGACTTTTGGATAGGACACAAAATACAAGGCTGTATCATATACTTTTTATTAGAAAATATAGAAAAGTCCTAGTACTAGTATGGGCAACTGTGTTTTTTAAATTTTAACGAAAAGTCATTTGTTCAGTTTTATAAAGTACGTGAAAGATTAGTTGACTGCGCTTGAAAATTCTTTAGAGCATGCGCAGTGTGCGTTGCGCGTTTCTACCCAAGGTAAATGCCAGCTGATCGTCTGTTTCCATTTGTGTTAATTTCAGATGTGAATATACTATTATTTTATGAAAAACAAATAGTGTTAATATATATTTGTCTTCAAGAATTGACTTTCAAAAAAATATTTTTAATTTTGTGTTTCTCACAAAACAGAATGTTATGTAAGTATCAGTTTTCAGTGAAATAGCATGTCTCAGAAGTCGTGAAAATTTTCACCATGTGGTATATAAGAACAATTCGATACGTACTTTTAAGTGTTAAGTGTGTGTTTATATTTAAGTTATACGCGAATATATGTGTGTGTTATAGGTTAGTTTAAAGTGTTGACGAACGTCGAAAAGTGATACAATAATTGTTCTTTGTTTGTGTGATTAATTATCCAAATATGTGGATGAATAAGTGAATTTCAGAAAAACTCTGTGAACAAGTGGAAATTATTTTTTTTATTTTACAGTTTTTTTTAAAGTCAATGAAATTCTCAAGCAAGGTACTAGAATATTTCATTGACTGCTTTTGAAACTCTCATGCAAAATGACTAGACTGTCTTTAGTATTTTGTGTCGTATCCAAAAGTCAAGTACCAAGTCAATGAAACTTTCACGTACTTTTTTTTCCGTGTACCTAATAACTTTTTATTACTTTGAATCTGAAATAATTAAATTCTTGTCACAAGAATTATATTATTTATGAAAATAATTAAATTTTTCAGAGAGGAATTCAATTATTTTCAATATAATTTTAATTCCATTCTTTGAAATCATTTAATTATTGTTACAAATTTTGATTTTATATTATTTTTATTTGAATTAAAATTGTATTGAAAATAATTGAATTCCTCTGAAAAATTTTATTATTTATAAAAAAATTGAAATTCAATTATGAAAATAATTGAATTCTTGCAAAAGATTTTCCAACAATTTTTTGAAAATGATTCAATTGTTTAAAGAATTTTATAAAAATTTGTTGAATTTTTTCGAAGAATTTTATTATAATTTTTAAAAATAATTTCTTTATTCCAATTATTTGCGAATTTGAAGTAAGTAGTAGGTAAAAATTCTGAAAAATAGGAAAAAGTAGCTTTTAGTGTTAAAAAATTTTAAAAAAGTATTCAAATTGTAGCCGAGTAGTAAATAGAAGGTTTTAGTAGAGATTGAGTGCGAAGCCTGCACTGCTAAATTATATTAAGATAAACAAAAAAATTGAACAAAAAATAGTATAGATATATACCTGAAAACTAAAAATGAAATTTTTCTGTAACAGGGAAATGTTCCTTCTAGGAATATTCATCATGAGCT